TGTGGGGGGGAGGGGGAAGTCCTTTGTATATCCAGATTAGAATTGGTCTGATAAATGTTGAGCCGGGTGTGTGTAAATGTGGGTTGATTAGCATTTGGAGCACAGATTCCCCATCATGCAGTGTTCCCCTGCTTATCTGATCCCAGAATTCACTGTAGTCTTTGCTTCGGGGTTTCTATTCTCCATCTCCCATGTAAATGAATGGTCATCTGGTTCCATCTCGGATGCAAATGAGACCTAGGGCAGTTGCTCCCTTATCTGGAGGGCTTTAGGTATGTCTCCCACTGCATCTTAATCAGTTTTGTTTGGTGGGGGGGAATTCTTTGTGAGTCAGACAGGCTGCGTCCTGTGCCAGGGTTCCCCAAAAACATGGAGCTGAGAGGTAATAGTGTGGGCAATCCCACCCCCTAGCTGCTACCACTCAAGCAGCATAAACCCTCCACCCCCACAAGCTCTTCTTGCTGGCGCTGGTGCATGGTCAGTGAGCTCACAAGGGCTCCTGCCATACTGTCTTGCCCCAGTGACCCCAGCCACTTCAGCAGTCAGAGCAATAGAAACAGTGATAACCAGGCAGGAGTCTGGGAGCCGCACATTGACTCCACACAGGCTGGAGGTAGCTGCGAGTTGGACAGCCCTGGAGTTTACCAATTAACACTAAACCCCAAAACAGGCATTAGTGTCAGCATTCCAGTGCCTAACCCTTAAGTGAATGAAGCTCTTAGGAATTCAGAAAAGTCCGGTGGGCTGAGCATGGAACTGCCTAAGATAAGCAATGAGAAATGACAAGAAAGAGGTGGGACCCTGCCCCTCAAAGATACAAAGGTGTGTCTCTCCAGGATAAAGACAGGCACATCCCTTCATTCAAGCATCACAGCCACGAACCTTCTTCCGAAGTTAGATGCCTAAAGTAGGTTAGGTCTTTCTCATTCACACACACAAGCTCACACAGGAGAATGTGATACTCTTCCTTCATTATGGTCAGGGGTTAGAGCATCCTTCTTAAGTCTGGGATACCCAGGTTCAAAACCCCTTCTTTTCTGCCTGTTTTAGATGAGGGATCTGAACCCAAGTCTCTGACTGCCTAGAAGAACACATTCACCACTACAATATTTAGGGGGACTGCTTAGTGTCTCCTGTTGAAGCTGTTCCACTTCCTATAAAATAATTATTGGAACAAGGATTTAAACCTGATTCTCCCACATCCTAGGGAGTGCCCTAACTACCAAACCATACAGTTAACCTCCTATTCTCTCCTCCCCTTGGACCAATTTTTGGATTATTTAATATAAGAATTTGTAGACTAGAGGGACTTCACTCACAGGATTTTAGGTTTTTTGCAAGTGAAGAAGCTGTTCAGCAGGAGCCTTACGGATCTAATTTTTGGACTTGGCAGTTAGGCAGTTATATTGTTTTATTGAAATAGGCCCTAGCTCATTGTGCATGTATGTGGGGTAGTGGCAAAAGCAGTACTTCTTTAGTTATTGGTAGTTCAGTTATTCCAGGTAAGAATCTCAGTGGGAAATGAGCCACACTAAAATCTTTGTCATTTTCCCTGTAGCCAATGGAAAAATTAGAAGAAAGGTAAATAAGGGTTTTGCTACATTTGAAACTGCGGAAGTGGAAAGATCAAAAACCAGGACTGTCAGTCTAAGGTGAAGGAATGCTACAGACATGTGAGCTTCATAGCTTTCACAAGGCAAATTTTGTCCCTTTGCTCAGGACCTACTAAAGATGCCCTACACCAATAAAGCCCTACACATCTCTTTACCTGAAGCATTAATGGTGTACATGGTCGATGCAGTACTTCTTGCTTGTATGAATTTCATCCCAGGTGCAAAGCAGATGAGATAAAAATAGGAGTAAAGGGAGGGTAAAATAAAGCAATGGATAGAGGACTTCTTGGATTCTCCCAGGTACAAGATCAAAGTTTCTCCTACCTCACCCCAATGAATTACCCATTGCAAACAGAAAATGAAGGTCTAGACAAAAACTGTTGGGCGTTAGTTTACACTTCGATTCTGTTGTTATTTGGGATAAGATTATACCAAATTGAAGTAGCTGTTCACATACTGTCTTGCACACATTTTAGAGTTTAACATTTTATTTATTGCTAAGCATGCCCCTTCTCCTTGGGCCAGCAGCTTGTGCTCAGTTTATTGGTAGCTTTTAAAACAAAATGTTCTGGATCCAGGTAAACATTTTTGCACAATGTATATTATTAAGGACTGTCCTATTTAAAGGAGTGGAGCATAGTGACAGCACTTATTGAGGTCACAGGTCAAAAGCATGACCTTATTGAAAATCCATAAGAAATGATCTTTCCCCTGACATATGGTTTTAAAAGCTGCTAATAAACTAGGTGGAGTTAGTCCTATCAAAGCCAGATATCAAATTTAAAACCTCATCCACTTTAAATAAAACTCTTTCGCAGAGTCAGAAAAGTTTATGTCTATCCAAAGCAACACTGTATGCTAGCAAATATTTTAAAACAATGGTTTTCAAACTTTTTTCATTTGCAGACCTCTAAACATTTTTGAATGGAGGTGTGGACCCCTTTGGAAATTTCAAATTAAGGTGCAGACCCCTTTGAATTATAAGTGTGGGTATTCACATACTTTTTATTGATCATAGTAATCTTTCACAAGCCACTTAGACATAGTCAGTGGACCCCAGGGGTCTGTGGACCACAGGTTGAGAACCATTGTTTTAAAACATTTTTAAGTCCCTTAAAATGTGGCTTCTGTTTTATAAAATTAATAGATTATCTAGCTTCTCAGTTCTACTGATGCAGATATGTTATTTGGAACGTTCTTACTGAAATACTTCTAAATTTTTAGATAGCAATAAACCATCATAAAAAAGTTTTTTCTAGTGACCATACAGTTTTCAATTTTGCCAGATTTCTGTTTAGATATAATCAGATTCTAATAAAAAGGTACAGGCCTAAAAACAGTGTTAATCCCATTGTCTTTATACATCCATTCTGATCTGTCTTTATAAATCCACTTCTTAATCAGGCAATGGTATTTGCAGGGAGGAGGGGATGATCCTTAAACGGCAGATCTTTCTCCCAATAAAATAATTAAACTGAACACTATTTGTTTTCTTTACAAGAAATAAAGGCATCAAAACTGAGCTTTTCTTTTAAAAGAATTTTAGTGTCTGGTTCTGGAATTAAATAAGAGGATGCCATGCATAAATTGCTTTATTGCTTATATAAATTGTTACTGGAAGCAAGTAAGTTTGATGAATGTCTTGCATGCTTACTCAGATTTTTTATTTCATAACCTGAACGCTGTTCCAAGTCCACTCTAATCCATGTTCACCTAGCACTTACTTAATTGTCGAATAATGATAAACAAACCTGAACATGATGAATTAAAGGAACACAATGAATTTACATCATCTTTCCTTGATACATTAATTTTGTGCTTGTATCAATGCTCCTAATAACTCAGCACAAGAGGTTAGCTTTACTTGCCAGCATATATGTTCATTACCTTGAGACGGAGACTCATTTTTCTTTGTAGCATCAAATGCTCTGTCATCTGATGGTGAGAAAGTACCCTTTGATGCCTAAAAAAAAAAATAGTAACAGAACTGCTGTGAATGGTTTTGACTCTTGTAAGGAAGTCTTACATGACAGTCATGTTTTTGATGTACTACAAGTTCAGACTCTGCTTTTAGGAAGTTGTGCAGTATTTCAGCCGTCTTGCAGAAAGACTGTAACGGGTGCTTAATCAGAAACATAGTCTATCATGTCAGTGAATGGTTCTTTCAGTTGTTAATTACTTTAAGAAAACTGCATTTGTTATCCTTAGTTACCCATACTTAAATACCATCAAGAGTCAAATTTAAACATACCACTGTGTTGGTCAGGGGAGGGGGGACCCATTGTGATTATTTTAATTTAGTGTTTAGTGGATATTGCAAAGCCACCATCTTGTGGAGATTTAATTAATTTCCCTCCTCCATGAATAAGATAGAGATTTATGAACTGCGTGTAGTATGTATCTGTAAGTTCCTAGGCCTATTTTATTGGGACTTAAGAGTTGTTCTCCATGGGCACATAGACTGATAGCATGAAGCCAAGCAGGATTGGAACCTTAATTTGAATTACTGACTCTCTCCTTTCCCTTCAACTCTTTCTCTCCACTTTTGTTATTTTTAAGGAAAAAAGAAACCCACACTATAAATTAAATGGAATGAGAAAGACGTGCATAGCATTTGGATGAGAAGAAAATGGGAGTTCTGTGCTGTACTAAGCTACTGTAGATATCATACATAGCATTATTTTTTTCAGTAGCATATTTGTTTTCTTCTCCTGCTCTTTTTCTTTAGACTGTAGTCTCCCCTCATCAAAATGTGAGTCAACATGGATTCAGAGCAAGAACTGGGGAGTCCTAGAATAAATAAATAAAATGTTAGGGCACATCCAGACGAGCACGGTTGTGCATAACCCACAGTCCGGAGTTATCTGCGCTGCAAAGGCACACTGCCCGAGCATACGCTGCTCTGGTTCTCCCTCTCACTGCAGTTCTTTTTGACCCCTGGATATCCAGGAGTTAAAAAAAAAAAAAACGGAAAAAAACCTGAAGCACAGCACGCTAAGGCAGCATGCGCTGCTAAAAAGCAGAGCTGGGCTGCTTGGAGCCGCACTGCGGCTGCCGGCCAAGCTCCACCTGGCAGGATTGCCACAGCTGCAGCTCCAGGAGGCCCCTAGGACCCCAGGTAAGGCTGCTGGGGCCAGCACAGTGCTGGCCCCAGCCTCCCCTACCCCACCCAGGGCAACTTGTTGCACACCAAAGCTCACGTAGCATGGGCATTCCCCGCGGAGAAGAAGCCATGGCGCAAGATGCGCCGCTGCTACTTGTCCCCAGGGAACCAAATGTCCACACACATCTGGACACACCCTTACTGTCTATATCTCCTCAAACGCCATATATTACCATCATTTCTTAGTGATTTCATATGACTAATGACTTTTTTCTTTATATTAGGCCGTTTTTACTACCTAATACACCCAACCAAGCTGACCTATGATGAAGCTGTGCAGGCCTGCCTCAAAGATGGATCTCAGATTGCTAAAGTAGGTCAGATATTTGCTGCCTGGAAACTTCTAGGATATGATCGCTGCGACGCTGGCTGGCTGGCTGATGGCAGTGTCCGCTACCCGATCTCAAGACCAAGAAAACGCTGCAGTCCTAATGAAGCAGCAGTGCGCTTTGTGGGCTTCCCAGATAAAAAGCACAAGCTATATGGTGTCTACTGTTTCAGAGCGTACAACTGAAAGTACTTAGAGCACAGCAGTTTTAAATTCATTAAGAACATGTGAAAGATTTATTTTCAATATGAACTCATGCAAGTTACCAAAACTGTGATAATCTTTTTTACTTACTGTAAAGAGTCATTTTCATAAAATCAACCCATTAATTTGTTTTATTCTTTTTTTGTAAAAGTATCATTCAATAGATATTTTAAATTAATATAATTTAATGGAAGCTCTAGGTAAGAAAGCTTTAGAGCCAAATTCTTTAAGCTACATCATCCCAGCAAAATATAATTTTCATGAATGGGGCATGCAATAGCTTGATGATTGCTAGGACTAAATTAAGGAATGTAAGGCTACTCAAAGCAGAAGCTTTTACAAGCACAGATTTTAGACATTTGTACCATTTTGAGATACACTACAAAAAATTAAATACTCAGTTTTGAAATACAATGATCTTTTATTAACTGGGATTCACTGACGTTTTGCAAAAAATATACAGAAAAAACATATTTTCACATGGGAACAATATGCCGTTTAGTGAATACAGCATTTAAAGCCAGTCTACAAAACAGGACTTGTTGCCATTTAAAATCCTGCCTTTCAGACAAATAAGTTCATTTGTGATCCCATGCATAGCAACAAGCACAACTAGATCTTCTGAACATTTCAATTGTGTTTATATTGTGTATAAAATATTGATGAGTGGGTGAATAATTAACCCTACTTTCTTCTTAATTCAAACTAAAGATGCCTGAGAAGTGTTGTATTACCTTTGAGTAGCTTTACTGAGTTATTTTTAAACTCTAAAGGCCATTTGCTAAGCAGCATTTAGCATCTACTCAGGGCAGTTATATAAATGAACTGCTGGACAGAAAAATTGTAAAATTTAGCAGCTTGATTTTACGTTAGCCTTTGAAAAGTTATTGTCTTATAAAAAGAACATTAAAATATTTAATATTTCTTTCTTATTTACACATCATAAGAGATTAAATTTTGGAAAAGCTTGTTAAAACCAATAAAGACTCTATACTGAGAATATGAAGGGAAAAAAATCTGATACCAGCTATCAAAGACAAAAAAAGTTTATTTCCTGTTTGTGTACTCACTTAAGTCCATGTGTAACTACATAAAAATATATCTATTTCTAAAAAATAATATTTGGGGTCAACTTCACCAATCTTCTCAGTTGACCATTGTTAAGATTAATGAAAAAGTCTTAAAATAAATAATTAGTAAATTTTCAGTGTTCTGAATGGGAGATATTTACTTGTGTCTTTCAGTGTCAGAGAAAGAAATCAGGGCTGCCTAAGGGTTTTTGGTTTTGGGACCCATTTCTCACTAAAATAATGCCAAATTAAGGGGAATTAAGTGTATGGTGACTGGTGATTTTGAACACAACAATGCTCAGCATGCAACTTCAGACATCTTAAAGGCACTTGGTTTTAAGAGGGTTGGCACCTGGGGCTTTCTGAAAATAATTGAAAATCAATGTTCTTTATGGCATCTGAAGCTGGAACAATGGCAGCCTCAAAAATCACTAATCACTGACAGAAAATCGTGACCTTGCAAGTTCCTTAGACAGCTTTGAAATTCCCATCCAGTATTAGCTTCATCATTGAACATAAAAAAAAAATAGAACTCTGTTTTCCTGTACTAAGTCTGGTGACTATGATAATTTCTGAGGACCAATATTTGTATTCAGTGAAGTTTTACAGTTTATCATTGTTTCATTATGTAAATGAGATATAGTAGAATTATCCCAGTAGGACACAACTGGTATGCTTTCATGAATGTTTTTGTGTAGATTTTTTTCACAGACATGAGTTAATAAATTATGTTTCCTGAAATGATTGTAGTCCCATTTTAAAACTGTGACTAGACCAATAAATGCATGGAAAAACTATAATAGAAAGTACTCTAGTGTGAAAGGTATTGTATTACTATTGGAGTTCATCTTACTATTTCTAACAAGCTTAGAAGGCAAAATTTCCTCTTGGTAAATCACTGTCAAGCATGGATATTTGTTCATAATATCTAAATGAAACAAAATAATTAAAAAATGCACAATTCTATGTAATTTATTTACTTCCTCAACAGTTAAGAGTCCCTGAAACTATTGCACATTATTGTCATAAACAGTTACACCACATGAACAATAGGTCTAATTCATATCCCCTAGACCCACAAACACTATCTCCCACAAATGCTGCAGAAGGTAAGCCACTTTTAAAGTCCCTTTCCCTAAAGAAGCTAAGTCACTTCCAAAGCTCTATTCATTTCCCACCCTATATCTGCAAGACATTTTAGACACCTTTCTGAATGCTTTTGTATACAAGATGGCTGAGGAACTTGGTAATGTTAGCTTGGGGAAGAAATGGCAGGACAAGGACAGGCTTCAGGTTAGAAGGACCATATATCCCCCTTCCAATTCATGGAAAAATGAGCAAAAGATATGGATAATATTGGTTCATTTCTTCTGCATTCTCCCTTTTCTGGAGTCATGAAAGCAGCAATGACCAGAGGAGTTACAAGTAGTGTGAGTCCAGTTTACAAATAGTTGAGTAGTCCACTTGGAGTCAGAGACTGTGTGGAGACACGGGACCATTCTGTAGATGGTCTTGTCCTTCATGATGATCCTCCAAATTTGGAAGAAGGTACATAGGTTGCCATAGTGGGGGGGAGGAAGCTCCAAGGTCATGATCTTGTAGAGACCTTTTTTTTTCCCAAAGTCCTTTTTCCACTGGGTTTTTCTTCCTCTCCCCTCTCTCGCTGTCTCTCTCTCTCTCACACACACAAACACACACACACACCTGCAAAAGGTGTGCAGAATCCTGAGCCAATAAACTATAAATACAGACATAGAAGTCCAGATGCCAAGTGTCAAGCTGAGCATGTTACTAGGCTAAGATATGTGTGGCTGAGAAGAAGGGTGTGTGTGTGTGTGTGTGTGTGTGTGTGTGTGTGTGTGTGAAAATTTGACTTGCATGACCTTTGCAGCACCATGCAGACCCTTGAAGCTGACCAACTGCCACCATAAAGTAGAAGAGATGCAAACCAATGCTATCTATACCTATATGTCCATGTCTTAGTGGCCTTTTGGATAGAGTACAGCAGCACCCTTATCCAGCCTGTGACCATGCTTCATGCACAACAGATTCTAAGGGACTGGTGGCTGAGCTGGCTCTGTATCACCTAGATGCTCCCTCTGTATAAGAATAATCTCAGATGCCCTGATCTTCATATTTCAGCACAAAGGGGCCATAGCACAATAGAGAATTAGCACTTCTCCCCCACCCCCAAGTGATTTTGAGTTTTAATATGATCACCTTGGGCAATTATTTAGCTGAATATTCCCACGGAAGACTGGCTGATTCCTGAAAAATTAAGGCACATTGTGGAAGTCTCAGTCTGAATTGAGGTTTACTATGTTATTTGACACAAGGCCTATTGGTTTTCTAGTGTTCTAGTGGAGGTCAAGCTAGTCTTACATTACCAGATCTATAACTATATCTATTATCATTATAACAAATAAAGTTAAGAAATAATTTACTGGGAGCACATTTTTACAAAAAAAACACATGACTTAAACTGTAAACAGTTTTTTAAATTAATATAAAAGTCTACAATTAATTATGAAATGGCCACGCATAGGCAAAAGGACATAAATACCACACACACAGAGAAACTGACTCCACTTTACTTTTATAAATATCAAAGTTAGTAAACATCCTAAATTTTGGAATGAGCTTGCTAGGTGCTTGAATGATATCTGAAGAGGATGCTTAAGAGCTGGTTAAAGTCTATGCTATTTTCTGTTCTTGGGGAGAAAAACTATAATTCAAATGAGTTCATGTGCTGTGTCATTATTATCTTGTATCTCACAATGTATTGGAATTTTGATTCCCATGACAACAA